TTCCGCCTGGAGGCAGCCGCTGGGGCCATGTCGCGGGCTAAGGCCACGCAGCGCGGCCCCCGCTCCCTCCTCGGCGCGCCCCGACGCCCTGAAAAAGGAGGGTTGGCAGGCTCGCGCGACGAGGGGTTTTCAGAACGCTGCGCGCCAATCTGCGGTGGCGCGCGTGCGCTCGAAGCCAGATCGATGGCGCTTGCTCCCAGGCCACCGACCGCGTGCCTGGCTTCACTCCTTTTCCTTCTGCTCCTCGCCCCCCTCCTCGTGTCCAGGCGCGGGGGCGGCCTGGAACGGCCGGTGCGCGGCCCGGCGTTTCTGCGGTGTCTCGGGGCGCGATCTAGGTTGCAAAAGAGGCGAGGACAGCGTTGAGCATTATGCATTCTACAGCTGTTTTCACAATCTGCGCAAGAAAGATTTGGGCCTCTCCCGCCCCCCGCCGGAGGCGTGCCCAGGGGGCCTCTTGGGCGTGCTCCCTTGCTCCTCCTCCCTTCCGCCCTGCCTGCAGACGGGTTCTGCCGTTGCCTCGGCGGCGGCCCTCCGGGCACTTGGCGGTTGCGCGATGCGCAACATGCAGAATGGCACTCGGCGTGGCCTCCCTCGGGGCGATGGCCGGCGGCTTCCGCGGTTTTCTCCGCGGGGCTGTCCCGGGGCGGGCTTCGGGCCAGCCAGCTTGAAACTGATGCGTTCCCTAGAGGCAGAGGTGCACCCGCGACTGGCTCTAGCAGATTGGCTGCAGTGGCGCGTCGAATTTGTAACATCGGATATTCTGTTCTACCCGATCTTCAGCCCCGTGGTAGAGTCCGCATGCGCCGCGAGGAACTAACTGGGCGCACCGTATAGGCGCACAAGCTTGGTCCAAGGCGATGGCAGCCAGGAGAAGATGCATTCCGCGGCTCGATCGCTTGCGCGAGCGAAATCTCGGACGGTTGCAGGGATTAAGCAGCAGGGCGATTATTGAGCTGACGATGGAACGGTTCAGATTGGACAGAAAGGCAGGGGGAGGACGTTTGATTGCAGGAGCATATCCAGACCCAGACTCAGGCTAGATCCATGTTACCACGCCGCCGCCGATGTCGCCGAGAGAGAATGAATGCAACGAGAGCGGGAACAACAACGAGGACAGATGGGCCGCGGGGCGAAGCCCCGCAGGTCCCTTGGACCCCGGCTCCCACGACCCCAGCATTGGGAGAGGTGGAAGGGGACAGTTGGGAGGCCGCGGCGCGAGGGCGGCGAAGGCTTTGCGGCCAGAGGCGCTTCAATTTCGCGGACGGGACACAAGGCGGTCATTGGGCGCACTTCGGTGACGATGATGGGGGCGAGGACTGCGACCGCGCGGGTGCGGAGCTATGTCCTTGCAGAGCCCTTGGGTCCGGGAACCGACGACCCCAGCGATAGGATGACGAGGAGGAGGAGGGGGAGGAGGAGGAGGAGGAGGAGGAGGAGGAGGAGGAGGAGGAGGAGGAGGAGGAGGACGAGGAGGGGATGCCGCGACGCGGGAGAGACCTGTGCTTCCGCGGCCACGCGCACTTCGATTGCGCCGTGGGGGCAGAGGACGGTAACCAGACGAACTTCGATAACGCTGACGGGAGCGAAACTGCGACCACACGGCTGCGGGGCAATGTCCCTGCAGGGCCCACGGGCCCGGACCCGACGACCCCAGCGATGGGGGAGGTGGTGGGGGGGCAGATGGGAGGCCGCGGCGCGGGCGAGACACAGGCTTTCGCAGTCACGCGCCCATGGATTTCGATGGTGGGGGGGGGCCGGTGGCTGGGAGGTTAACGAGTTCCCGAGGTCATGTGACGTGGGGGCCCAGGGATGCGCGCCTTTTTCAGGCAGATGAGGAGATGTAAACTCCAGGCGCGAAAGTAAATTTGCAGCGTACCAGGGCAGTCCGAAAGGCCGAAGTGTACCCACGGCCTTGTGCCAATACCCTCAGAGGTCAGTCACACTATGCGGGGGGCCGATGGGGCCAGGGGAACCTGCGCAAAGGCGCCTATCCCCACAGACTGCCATTATGGCAACAGCAAGGCAAGGGGACAACAGTAGTTTGGTTTCTGCAGCCACCAGTGGCAAATGCAGAGATTTCCAGCCACGCCAAGCTGTTTACGCGAAGGCGCAGACAGCCAGCGAGCCCAGTGGCAGGAATCATATGCAGAGAACTCGGAAGGGACTCGAGGACACACCGTCTAGCGCCCCGCCGCACGGTGGCGGATTTCACTCGTGCCCTGCAGAATGCTATTGTAATGTTAGCCAGCGTGGACCCCAAACAGGCTATTTGATGTAGGCTGAATGGTGCCATCTATACTGTGCAATCTATGTGATGTGAGCTACGTGATGTAAGCTATGTGGTGCAACATCTGTGGTGGGAGCTAAAGAACTCATCTATGTTGCACAATGCACGTGGTGTGAGCTACGTGCTGTAAACTATGCAACCTATCTGGTAGGAACTAACGTGCTCATATCCGCTGTGCAAGCTATGTGGTGTGAGCTACGTGATGTAAGCTATGTGGTGCAACATCTGTGGTAGGAGCTAAAGTACTCACCTATGTGGGCATGCTATGGTAAGCAATCTAGCGGGCCAATTTGCGTGTGAGCTGGAGCAGGCCACCGCCCACCTCACTGCCACTACTTCGTCGACCTCGCGCCCCTGCCCCCCGCCCCCAGTCCCCCCCACTCTTAGCCTCCCCGAACCCCCGTTGCCGATTTCCATTGTATTTTCCCCGACCTCCCCCTGCTCCTGCTGCTCCTGCTGCTGCCCCTCTTCCCCCCTCCGTCCTCCTCGTCCTCCTCGTCCTCCCCTTCCCCCTCGTCCCTTCTCTCCCCTCCCCCTCGTCCCTTCGTCCTCCTCGTCCTCCTCGTCCCCCCCCCCTCGTCCTTCGTCCTCCTCGTCCTCCCCTTCGTCCTCCTCGTCGAGGGCGCGCCGCTGGATGACCCCAAGGGTGGGGGTTGGGACCCCCCCCCCCTCCTTTCCCCGATCCCCCCCCCCTCCCTCCTTTTCCGATCCGTCGTCGGGGACCCCCCCCCCTTTCCCGGTTCGTCGTCGGGGAATCCACACCTTACCCTCCCCCCGTTTCAAAAGGGGGGGGGGTCCAACCCCCCCCCTCCACCCCTTTGGCCGTCAAATTCGACCCCCCCCCTCCCCCCCTTTCGCCACGGCGCCCCCGGTCTCCGGAACCCGACCCCTACCACCCCTAACACTAATCCTCACCCTTGCTCTAACCCCTAACCCTAACCCCAAACCCAAACCCTAGCCCCAAACAGCACTCACTACTCATTACGCACTACTCACGATCCACAATTCACTATTCGCTACTCACTACTCACTACTCACTACTCACTACTCACGACTCACTACTCACTACCCACGACTCACTACCCACGACGCACTACTCACTACTCCGTACTCCCTACCCACTTTTCACGACTCACTACAAACTACTCACTACTCATTACCACCTACTCAATACTCACTACTCACTAAACACAGCTCACTACCCACTACTCGCTAATCACAAATCACTACTCACTACCCACTAACCACTATCCGCTACTCACTACTCACAATTCACTACTCATTAATCACTGCCCACAACTCACTACTCACTACTCGCTACTCGCTACTCCCTGCTCCCTACACAGTACTCGCTACTCTCTACTCACTACTCGCTACTCCCTACGCCCTATTCTTTATTCAATACGCACTATTCACTACCCACTACTCACTAGTCACTACGCTCCCACTACTCACTATTCAGTGCTTCCTACTCCCTACTCCCTACTCCCAACTCACTACTCACTACCCAGTATTCAATACTCACTACTCCTTAAACACGACTCACTGCCCACTGTTCACTACTCACGAAACACTACTCACTATCCACTAACCACTATCCACAACGTACTACTGAGAACTCACAATTCACTACTCGCTACGCACTGCCCAGAACTCACTACCAAATAGGACATATTCGCTGCCCAGTACGCACTACTCGCTACTCACTACTCACTACTCCCTACCTCCTTCTCACTCGTCACAAGCCGCAAGTCGCTACTCACTACTCAGTACTCACGACTCACTACTCACTAGTTTCTACTCGCTACTCCTTACTCACTACCGACTACTCAATACCCACTTCTCGCTTCTCACTACTCACTACTCACTACTCCCTACTCACTACTCACAACTCATTACTCACTACTCACTACTCGCTCGTCCCTACTCGCTACTAACTACTCACACTTCACTACTCACTACTGGCTCCTGACTATTCCCTCCTCACTCCTCACTACTCACGACGCCCTGCTCGCTACTCACTACTCACTACTCGCCACTCCCTACTCAGTACTCCCTACTCGCTACTCGCTACTCGCTACTCACCACTCACTTCTCCGTACTCTCTATTTACTGCACACTACTCACTACTCACTACACACTCCTCGCTATTCGCTACTGTCTACTCCCTCATCCCTACTCCCTGCTTACTACTCACTATGCACTACTCACTACGCACTACTCACTCCTCACTACTCACTACTCACAATTCCTTACTCACTACTTCCTTACCACTACTCACTACCACTACACACTATTACCATTCACTAATCTCTACGCGCTGCGCACTATTACCACTACCCATTACCCACTACTCACTACTCACCACTCACGGTTCACTGCGCACTACTCATTTTCAAATACCCACTACCCACCAATCGTTATTCAAAACACTACTCTCTACTAGCTGCCCGAGATGCCTTCTCCCCGGCCCCCTGTTCGGCGCAAAAGGGAGAAGGGGGGGGGCTCGAACGCCCCCCCTTTCCAGCGCCAAGGGGGCAAGGGGGGGGGGTCGAAAATGTCACCTCCTCTTTGAAGGGGGGGAGGGGGGGGGGTTCTGCGAACATCCCCCCCTTTAGTGTATTCAGGGCCATCCACTGGCGCGGTTTCCTCCCCGTCCTCCTCGTCCTCCTCGTCCTCCCCTTCCCCCCTCCTCAGCCAGCTGGCCGCCGAGGTGGTACGCCGGGCGCCCACGCCGGCCACCCCGTGCCGCGGGCGCGCGGCAGAGGGGATTATATGTGCTACGCGGTTCGGGGGATATCCGCGGGGCACAGACGTAGTAACAAAAATCAAGGACCGTGGCTTTCACATGCTGTCATGGAAGGGCCGAAGAAGGCGAGGAGGGGAAACAGCATGGAAGGGGAGGATGGCACGTGGTTCGGGGGTTTAGCGGGGCACAAACGTAGTAAAAATCAGGGCCCGTTGCGTTCATATACTGTCATGGACTGGCCGACGAAGGCGAGGAGGGGAAACAGCAGGGAAGGGGGGGATGGCCGTGCAGGACGCGCCCCCTTCCTTTTGCGTATAGCGGGGCGAGCAG